AGGTGCACATTACGGCACTTAATGCCACTGTATAATGTATAACGCCCACTTTTCACTATTTATGTGATGAGTCCCATGTAATAGGGGGTGGCAATAGGCCATACTGGGCACGATTTCAGACCACGTGCAACCAATTTACATACTTTCATAGCATCAAAGGGCTTGATTTTATACGACATGTTACACGATATAAAATGCTAAAAGATTCCATTGATATAAGGAATAACGGAGACAAGACAATGGACAATGCCCTTAATGGATACTAAACATAATTAGCGATTAACTGCGAATTCCTTATTGTGTTTATAGAATGGTTTTTCAATAGGAATATTTTTTGTTTTTAGATTGGTATGTACTTAGTAGCAGATAAGTTTATCTAACTATTTAAATACAATAGGGATGATGACGGTGAATGAAAATTAAAAATATGTATAATTAGTTCGTCAGTTAGATAATGAAAAAATATTTGACACGTATTTTTTTTCGTAAATATGGTTTTAATACTTAGATAAAACGAATCAAAGTTTAAGGCTAAAACGTCATTTATACGTATAAAACGTCCCTAGAAGTGACGTCACGCGATATTTCAAATCAATATGTCGTCGAAAGTATTTGTTTCTGTAGGAAAAGAAAAAATACGTGTCTAATGTTTTAAAATAATCTACGAGACGGACATTAAAATAAGTATTAGTCATATATCTTATTAATTTAATGTAATTTAGATTTTCAGGATTAGAAAGTTGTGCTTTCAGTTTCAAAATAGTATTTAGAGCACCCTATCAGGGATATTATGTACTTTGTATGTACATATCTGTCTACCCCTTCGAAGATTAAAAGGAGAGACGTTATGTCATTAAAAAAAGAAAGGAATATAAGTCAGCAGGCCAACTAGGCACCTACGGTTATAGAGACAACATAACTTCACGCCTTTTATCCCCGAAGGGGTAGGCAGAGGTACAAATTACGGCACTTAATGTCACCGTACAATGTAACACTTTTCACTATTTTATGTTATGAGTCCCATGTAATGGCGGGTGAGCCTATTGCCATATACCGGGCGGCACATTTCCAAGCTCCGTGCTACTAGGTACTGAGTTTTTTTTAAAACCGACTCAGGAATCGAACCCGAGAACCCTTGCCCGGAAGTCGCACTTGCGACCACTCGGCCAACGAGACAGGTTATAGTTATAGAGACTTAGGAAAAAATGTTTTCGTACTTATTCATAATAATTTTTACAGTTTCACTTTGACCCTAATACTTTCTGAAGCTGAAATATTTGCGAAGAAAGTTTTTCCCAGGCTATCATAGAAAGTATAAACATAGAAAGAATCATTTTGGTACATTACCAATGCAGCAATTTTAGTAATTTTAACAAACGTTCATAATTTTAACTTTCACACGTCACGAAGAGCTTAGATTCTGTAGAAATAAGTTACAAAATTAACATTATATATTTGTTGTTTAATTTTTTTTTTATGGAATAGGAGGCAAACGAGCAGACGGATCACCTGATGGTAAGCGATCAGCGCCGCCCATGGACACCCGCAACACCAGAAGAGTCACAGGTGCGTTGCCGGCCCTTTAAAAAGGAGTACGCTCTAATTAATTTTTTAAAACGCACATTATTTAATACTATCGTCTTCCCGCGGTTTCGCCCACGTTCCCGTTGGAAAAAAAGTAGCCTATGTCTTATTCTAGACCATAATCTATTCCTGTTCCAGTCGCGGAGAACCTAACCGGCTACCGGGGGTCCGGTTCGACGTACAGGAGAAGGAACGGGGTCGTTTTTAGTCAATAAGAGTCTGAGACTCCCTCCCGCCTCACCCAGGTGGGAGCAGTCATGCGATGATATTCCCCCCTTAAAAAAAAATCCCTGTTCCAAATTTCACCCCGATTCCTTCAGCCTTCCCTTCAACACGATTGAGTAACAAATACACCCATATATTCATACTTACAATATTAAGTAAGATAGGATGTCTTGTTTTCTATCATTTATGTTAGCCAAAAGATATGCATTGCTGAACTTAGGTACTGATTAGTTAGGTGCTGAAAAGATTTCTATGTAAGTCTAGGTTACTTCTCAATCTATCCATTTGTTGGGACCTTGTCCGAATAAATCGAAACCAAACCTTGAGTTTGATAATCTCAGTAGAAACCCCTAGGTCAACTAGATAATCAAAATGACCATTCGAATATTTCTAGACCACTGTTATATTAATATCTGGGTACTATATTTGTTAACAATTTTGACCCTAACCTTTCAGTTTCAACCTTCAATGTCTAAATTCTAACTTCCTATTCAATTTTATTTTGTTTCAATACTTTTTCTTCGAAAGAGAATTTCGTCTTCTCAAGATCATTTAAAGAGAAGAATTCAAGAACACTCAAGAATATATGTAGAGAAGAATTCATATTCATTACTCCTGCGGGGCTTTACCTGCTCTGCTCACCGTCTATTGATCTTAGTGTGATGTTTTATAGTCTACAGCCTTCCTCGATAAATACACTATCAAACACAAAAATAATTATTCAAATCGGACCATTACTTCCAGAGAGAGATATGCGCGTTCATACAAACAGACAAACAAACTCACAGATACACATAACATCACACCTTAGGTATACCCCCGAAGTGGTAGGCAGAGGTGCACATTACGGCACTAATGCCACTGGACAATGTAACATCCACTTTTTACTATTTATGTTATGAGTCCCATGTAATAGGAGGTGAGCCTATTGCCATATCATCAACAAACAAACTTCAGTTTTATATAATAGTATAAGGTATAAGATTATAAACAGCCTATGTCAATCCATTGCTGGACTAAAAGGCCTCTTTTACATAAGATGGTTGGCACTGAGTTTGTTTCGGCATTTCTTCTCTGAGTAGTCAGTTAGGAAATGTCGACCTCATCGTTCGCTTGATAAAATTAACGTGTGAAATGCGCTACTTTGTAGCCTATTTGCAGAAATAAATTATCTTGTTTCAATACCGTCCACAAGATAATAATATGATTTCAGCTGTTTTAAATATTATCTTCGAAAGTCTAATTGAGACGTATAGATAGCTTACCTAAATAGGGTCAAAATACTATTTATTGCCCTTTTTCCAATTTAAAAATAATAAATGGAACTAATGGAATACTTCCAAGTATTAAGTAAGATTTACTGTGAAATGAATTTTACTTGGTTTCTAAAAGTAAATGTGTACGCCTTATTAAAATACACTAAAACTAATAGAGAAAATTTAGTAAATTAAGAAACAATTAGTAGATTTTTAACACAATGCCATATTAATTATTGATCCAAAGATTTCGTAACTTGGTTGTGATGGCTAAAGAATCGTCTTTTTTACGAATTGGACAAGTAAATATAATTAATTATGAAATCAAAAACATACTACGTTTGGGATATTTTTACGAAAGTTTTTTCTTATTATAGAAAGTGCTATGCAACTGTAGAAAGTATAGACACGAAAGATATATATTATTTAATATAAGCGAAGTTAGTACTAAAGTACTAAAAACTAAAACCTTATTTATAGCCAACTAGCAACCTACCCCGGCTTCGCACGGGTGCAATATGCGTGTATTATACATATAAACCTTCCTAAAGAATCACTCTATCTATTAAAAAAACCGCATCAAAATTCGTTGCGTAGTTTTAAAGATCTAAGCATAAATAGGGACAGACAGGCTGCGGATAGCGACTTTGTTTTATACTGTAATGATTGTAGCAAACGAAGTATTTTCAATTGATTGTAGTATTTTATTTGGAGTCCTATTCTCAAGGAATAAAAAAAATTACTCTATTATTAATATTACTTAGCTTTTAGCTTCGAATCTCGGCATAGGTATTAGGTATGATATTGGACTTTTTATTGTCGACGATTCTTGGCTCAGTCTTTGTAATTGTGACCGCTGTTTGGTAATAGGGTTTGTCTCAATCGCAACAATGGATAACAAGCGTATAAACAATTAGACGCGTTGTTTGATAACATTCGTTTCAGATTACAAATTGGTTGAGTTTTCAAGAAAACTGTATTGTAACTGTGCAGTTTGAAACATCTGCTATTCCAAACGGCTTAAAAATAACGAGGTTTGCTGTTAGATCAGTAGGTATGTATGTTTGTCCGTGATTTTCTCGCAATTGGCTGAATCGATTTTGATGTGGTTGTCAGGAGAGGATTTGTTACATTTTTTTTAAGGGGGGAAAATCATCGAATAACTGCTACCGCCTGGGTGAGGCGGGAGGGAGTGTCAGACTTTTACTGACTAAAAACCACCCCGTTCCGTCACGTCGAGCCGGAGCCCCGGTAACCCGTTAGGTTCTCCGAATCGGCATCAGCACTGTTGGGCCCCATCAAAAGTAGGTTTTAGTATGTTAACCGACTTCGAAAAAAGAGGTTGAAGTTTGTTTTTCGAAACGTCGATTATTGAAAATTATTGAAGATTAAATTGTAAAGAATTTAGTTATTTTTTTTTTGAAAGTCTTACGTAAGAGTTAGCAATAAAATATATTTTACGATAGGCAGTGCTGTTACTACACAGATAAAAAACTTCTTGTATGCAAAATAAAAATCTATGTCAACTGTTACAAGTTACAATTTGAGTGACTCAGTGCTGTGGCCAGTAATGTAAGTCTTGCAAAAACAATATCGAAAAGTAGGCAAAGACATTCAGACATTCAGCTTAGTACAGTATTTAATGGATATATTATTTATGCTGTAAAGTTTATAATTGTTCCAAAAAAGTTTATTAAATTCATTATTAATGGAGGTTTCATAACTATGTCTCAAGATTAAATGATTATTCTTAATTGATAAGATCTGTTGCAATAATTTGAGATAATATTCTCGATGCTTGTATCTAATAATTAAAATGAATTTTAACGTGCGTAAAAACTATATCATTTACATATATACTTCTTAAATGCTAAAGTATCACCTGCAAAAAGATAATATTACATAAAAAAATGAGAACGCTCAAACAGAACTCACCGAAAAAGCAACAACGTTTCACCTCCTTTTACTTTCGTATAACACACTCACACCAAAAATCTATTTAAATTAACACGTTAAAACAAAATTTTATACAAGAAACACACAATAAAATTAAAATAAATTTTTACAACAAAAATGTCGATGTGAAAAAATATTGACGAAAAACGGCGCGCGAATTGACAGCGATTCGAAAAAGGAACGCGGTGTTTTATTTTTTAAAACGTCGCGCGAAGACCAAGACCGAGTACGCACTGCCAGCCAGTCAGCAGATCGCTCTCTCCGCACCGAATGTAGTGTCATAAATGCAAAGAGGGGACATGTTTAGATTTAAAAGAAATATAGGCTTATTGGAATAATACGTCATGTTTACTAATAAGATGCCATTGAATAATGGCTGAGAACAAATACTTACGGTGGATGATTATTTGATAGACCGATAAATGTGTGGATGCAATTTTTATCTGCCTCCTTATATTTTATTATTTCTTTTTTTTAGTACACTCTTAACCTCGCATTTTTCTATTGACAACAGCGATCAATAGTTTTGAATAGAGTTCATTAAGATTAAATTTATTATGGTGAAAAGGGATAAATTAACATCATGCAGAATATATTATGTGGTTTACCAATATTTAAAAGAATAGTCATAATTATAGATAGGTACCTACATATTCAAATTCCAAAATGATATCAGATATCGCAGAAAGGATGTTATTTTTTTATTTTTAAGGCCCTAAATAATAGGGGTCATTCTCTTCCTATACTCAGGAGATTTTAATTATTATACTAATACTTACTAACAAAAAAAATATAGGTATCTATTACATATCCTAACTCGAGATGCCTCAATTATCAGAGCTGCCTTAGTGAATTCACTAGCAAATTCAATAGTAATAAAGATATTATCTACTTTGATTGACACCCGCTTCCATATCAGATAGATAAATACCTACAGTCACGTCTATTCCACCATAGCTCTGTATTGACAACGAAAGTGACGTCATAAGAAATAAGACACCTTTCTCTGCGCAAGAGTGCACGCGTACCAACCTAGGGAATGCAATCAACTATTTATTGTTACGTTTTTATGACATACTAAAGGTCTTTTACCTTGAGTGACCTACTTTACATTTTAAGTTGCTGTTCGCGCAATTGTGATTGGGTTCGATTTTGCTCTACACAGATTTAATGAAGATGGTTGGTGTTTGATGCAGAGGATTCTTATCACCTGTATATGATTCTGCACGGTTGGCGCGGTGGCTGGAGAACTGGCTGCCGCGCAACGTGTCGCTGGTTCGATTCCCGCACTAAACAACTCTTTGTATGATTCACAAATTGTTGTTCCGGGTCTGGGTGTCATGTGTATGTGAACTTGTATGTTTGTAAATGCACCCGCACTTCGCAATAGAAGAAAACCCTAAAGTAGGGCAAAGTTCTTTAAAAAAAAAAAAAAAAACAATTAGATAGATACGTCTTTATTTAATAACACACTATTGGTCATTCAATTTTTTACAGCTGATGTGACTGGACTAAAAAGAAATGCTTGCTAATTAGCGCCATCTAGTGTTTGGAAAAACGGTAGCTCCCATTGAATCATCCCATTGGATACATGCCAGTATGTAGTTGAGAATAATAAGAAAATATTTTTATATTTAGAAGTACTCATTTCAAAGTATAAGTACTTGTTTATTTTCAACGTGTCCTTTTAGTGTGTTAATATACTGGTTTGACTTTGTCTACTGGATGGGAAGATGTTAAATCCTGTTTAGCTATCGTTTCCAAAAAAATATAAAGGCATGTGTGTAACAAATCACAAAGATTAATATTTAATAGCATGTGGTAAACTTAACCCATTTCTCCCCCAGCCCCAGCTTCTTTCTTGCACGAATATTCTAGAAATTTTGTTGAAACTTTCATTCCAAAAATGGAAGCATGCATATTGAAGGTCTAGTGATAGTCAGTACACTTTACTAAAATTATCTCTTAAGGTAATTCATTGTGTAATTATTAAGACGGACTAAAAAAAGTTATTTACAATTTTTTTATGAGATAAGCTGGTACCTAAACGAGCAAACGGAAAACGTGATGGTAAGCAATCTGTGTGTCCCATAGACACCCGAAACACCAGAGGCGTTACAAGTGCGTTCCCGGCCTTTTGGGGATTAGGAATTTGAGAATTTATGGGGATTCAGAGATTGGGAAGGGGGAGGGGGTAATTGGGCCTCCGATAACCTCACTCGCACGACGAAAGACAACGTAAGCGTTATTTCACGTTGGTTTTCTGTGAGGCCGTGGCATCACTGGCCGAGCCACACTTAAAATATATTGTTCATGCATGGCAGATGAGTTGGAGATCGTAGTTTATGAAGTACTAGTTTATAAGGAGGAGTGTTTGGAAAATACAGTCTCTTACAATCGAAATTAAAAAACCGACCTTTATTCGGAATAACTGTCTACTTAGTAATAGGGCAGAGCAAACTCTATGACAGTTGCCTATACACCGTGAAATCTATTTCGATTTCGTCCCGAAGAAAATAGTTCTGTCTTGGTAACACAATAGTATTACAAATCATCTAATTGCCCCCCCAACCTAGTCTCCCCAATCCCTGAATCCTCCACAATCCTCAAATTCCCAATTCTCGGTAACGCACTTGTAACCACTTGGTGTTTCAGGTGTCCATGGGCGGCGCCGATTGCTTGCCATCAGGTGATCCGTCTGTTAGGTTACCGGCTTTGCCATAAAAAAATATAAGAAATGAAATGTTGGGTAACCATTGGAAAAAGTAAACTTTGAAAGCGCATACGAACTCATACCTAGTACATTATCAAAACATCACTCCATGTAATTCTCGAAGAGGTATTTCTCGTCGGGTGTCACGTGTTATGCGGATAGTGCCTACAAATTACGTCTAGTGTTTAATGTGCGTATGTACATGACATTTTTTTTTATCGTAAAAGATGATGACGTCTTTATTTATTACTTTTTTTTTGTCTTTTTTTTACGAAAACGAAATAGACTTCACGATGTATATTAAAGCTTGCTTATTAAACTCCTTACAACAATGGAAACAAAAATGTACCTAATTGGTGAAAAGTTGACCTTATTCACCGACCTCGGCTTTTTCTTTAGGAAATAACAGCTTTGATGTTAAATTATGAAACCTTTTGTTTACCTTAAAAAGTAAAAACTGTGTTTAAGGGCGACATTTCGACTTTTGATATTTTGACTAAAATATCAAAAGTCAGTATTGTCACCAAACCAGATAGATTATGAAATCATACGTACATATAAGAACTTACTAAAAGTACATATTTCAAAGTTTCATTCAAAACATGTTTTTTTTATGGCATAAGCCGGTAAACGAGCAGACGGATCACCTGATGGTAAGCAATCGGCGTCGCGCATGGACACCTGGAACACCAGAGGCGTTAGTACACGCACACATAAATACACCACTGACATTTTGGTGCTTCAATCATATCCAAATGAGGCTAGCAGACTCAACACACACTTAGGTCTTGTACGTATTTACATATATATATGTGTATAATTATGTATGTATATATGTTATGTTATGTATTTTCCTTCGTATATTTAGGTATATATATGTCCCATACTTATTTGTCTACTGTTCGTTTTGCATTACGTATATATTTTAATACTTCTTCATTATATTTAATTAGTATATATTGTGTAATATGTATAATTATATATGATGTTAATTTTAATGTTAATTATTGTGTCATTCTAATAAGTTTTTTTTTTAGTTTAGAATATCTTTATTTCTCATAAAGAATCACATACATAATTCACTTACTGAGAAACAGTATTTCATACTAAAGTAAACAATTTAGAGCGCACTGTAGTACGTACATATAAACAAAAACAATACAAAAGAACAAATACAAATGTTCACTATTTAAAAATGTGAGTAAAGTGATAAATATACACAAATAACAGAATCAAGCAACACGGGCAGACCAGTAAACTATAACAAAAATATGAAGTAAATGTGGGTAAACCAATAAGTTAATCAATCACTTTATACATGAACTATTTTTACTAGATGTGGCATTGATGGCATAGTTTATACCTCTACGTCTTAATGTAATTGTTTTATTTTACTATTGTACACGCTACACGGTATTTAATTTAAACTATTTAGAATTTGCCTTTTACGTTATTAGGAGTAAACACTAGTCAATATTTTAATTATACCTCTACTTACAAGTATTCATCATTTGTAGTTATTAATTATATTAATTTTAAGTAATTTTTTGAACCGCACATAACTTTTTTGTTGCCTTATCATTGATGGTAGTCTATTGTATAATTTAATACCTTCGAACTCCAGACTTCTTTTTCCATAGTTAGTTCTAGGGGGACGGGGTACTGAGTAACTCGCACGTCTAAGATTTATTTAACGTGTTTGCTGTTTTGTTAAAAAAATTAAGTTTGAATGGATTTCCTTATTTAATATTTTACGTATTAAAACACATGTGTAGTATACATATGTTTGTTTTATATTCATTAACCTTGTGTTCTGGTATAATTTTTCAGTAGGTGTCCGATATTTATAATTAAATCGGGTTTTGATTAATCTGTTCTGAATTCGTTGAATTTGATCTTGTTAGTTTTGCATGCAATGCCCCAAATTTCAATGAGATAATCTATATGAGGTTTAATTAAAGAATTGTAAATTAGATATTTAACTCTTTGCGGGAGACAGTTTGATATATTGCGCAGTGCCCCTGAAAGTTAGCCTAGTTTAAGTTTAATTTTTTCAATGTGTGCTTTCCAGGTCAGGTTACTATCTAAGATTAGCCCAAGATATTTTTCTTTATATTTTCGTTCGAGTATTTGGCCGTCTATTTTAAGTTCAAGGTTTATCTGTTTTTTTTTTCTATTTTTTGCAGCAAAAATTAAATAATTTGTTTTTGTAGTATTGATAGTTAACAGATTTGACTGAAACCACTCATTCAGTAGATTAAGATCGTTCTGAGCGTCAGTCATTAGATCTTCAACTGAGTCTCCAAAATAAAATAGACTCGTATCATCAGCATATAGGGAAATGTCTCCTTTTAGGCTCAATTCACTGATGCTGTTAATATAGACAAGGAACATGAGAGGGCCCAATATGGATCCCTGAGGGACGCCGAAATCGAGAATACGGGCGCTGCTTTCACAATCACCCATTTTCACTACTTGTTTACGGTTATCCATGTATGATTTAAAAATGTTAAGTGCTTTGCCTCTAATACCAC